ATCTATTTATCTCTACCTATCTATTGATTTATCTACCTATCATCTGTCTATATACTATTGTATCTCTATGTCTATATATCAATAATTATACCTATATCTTTATCTATATCTATATATCACACCCTACACTCCAAGAATCAGAGATATCATCATTGAAGTTGAAGAAAAAATCATGAGAGCTGAGAAGTGAAAAATAATGAATGCTTTAAAATGCTGTCTGCAGCTCATTTCATGTATATTGAACTCACAAATGATTGGCAGCTGTGGTTACCTGCTTAAAACCTGGATAAGATCAAGTCACTTAACAATTCCAATGTGAATGGTCAATAGACTCCCAAGGTATCACACTTAACTGAATAGCAACTGGCAATTGGTGGCTGCTAGGATATGGACAGTAACTTTTATTTGTAGTTTGTGACCACTAGATGGTTGTTTAAGCCCCAGTGGATGATCCCACAGTCCTAACTATATGGACATCACCAGTTGGATTCAATGGGTTAAAAACTCAATCATTGAACAAAAGAAAAATGAAGCTAGGAAAGGGATAGGTTGCAGTACACATGTTGAGGAGTGGGTAATAGGAATATGTTCAGAATGTTGCCCACATGTGTGACAATTTAAATAATAAATAAAATTGTTATTTAAAAATTCAATTTTCATGGTTCTATTCATTTATGGGATGGGCTTTCCTACTTGATTATGCAATTAAAAGCCATATTTCACAGGCACATCTGAGCCTAAGGAGAAAGTCTCTCAAAGGATGTATGGCTTATCTCTTAGGTAATGGTAGATTTGATGACTTTATAATTATCACTAGTACGTAGCACCTAGGATATTTAAAATGAACAATGTTTTTGAAAGCAGGCAGCAGTTGTTGGCATGTACTTTAATTCAGACATTTTTATTTTTAAAATAGTTAGTGTAACTGAACAAATGGGCACTTCTACATCTATGATTGATAACACTCCAGGTATCTCAGTGATAATTGGTTCTCCTTCCAGAAGTCTATACCCATAGTTTTTTTTTTATTGCCTTTGGTTCTGACAGCATTTGAGTCACCCTTCTGTATCAGGCTCCAGCATATGAAGCCAACATACCAGTAGATGGCCAGTCTGAGACTGAGAGGACAGCATTGTATCTATAGCAGTCTCCCTATGTATCTAGTGTTGAAATATATTTTCTTACACTGCCAATAGAAACAGAGATATGAGAAGTATACAATACTCTTTCACTTTTACACAAGATTGTAGGACTATATTAATTGCCTGATACAATGTGTTTCTCTGTCTCTCTACTGTTAAGTGGCCATGTCCACTGACACATATAAGTATTGTGTTACAGAGATTGGAGATAAATATCCTTAGTGCCACTGGCAGCAGATTTTCATCTTTATATGTACCAATACAAGGAACACTATTGTAGTAGTTTTTTAGCATCTATATGCCAATACTCCAGACTTTGTGATAAATTATGAAATAGTCAGGTTCTTGAATGAGCAATGATCCCAGAACTCAATGAGTGTTATGAGGATCACAGCAGCCCATCAGTCTTCAATACCCCCATATTATAGCTTTATTTTTCTTATTTCTTTTCCATTATCAGAATTATTTATTATCATTTTGTAAGTTTATGATAATATATTCCACTGAATTTTAATCTTTCTTATTCCTCTCCTCAAAATCTTCTACATTTCATTGCCACTGAACATTGTGTACTTATTCTTAACAAACTCATCAAGGCCAATTGTGCTACCCATATATTCTTGAATGTGTGGCTTTCAACTGTAGTATTGTCAACTTATTCTGAGCTACACTATTCATGAGAATGCACCATTTTTCTCCCAAAAGTCATAAATTACCAATATCTCCTGAGATAGAGATGACATGTCATGACTACTACCACATTCCATACTGGAACTTTGTGGGGCTTTTTTACTAGTGTCATTCCTGAAGGAATTCAAGCCTTGGTAAAGTCAAGCTTCAATTTGTTGTTCCCTGAACAATGGAGATGAAGTTTAACCACTTTCTTTTTCTATCACCTTGCTGCTGGTGAGTCCTTTTGTTGCTCAGCATTTGTTATTAAAACAGTCTCCTCAATGTATTGATGACTAACAGTCTTTTTGTTTCTTATTTGAGATAGGATCTCACCATGTAACCCTGGCTGGGTTAGAACTCACTCTGTAGACCAGGCTGGCCTCAAACTCACAGAGATCCACCTGCCTCTATCTCCCGAGTGCTGGGATTAAAGGTGTGCCCCACTGTGCCTGGCTTTGCTAGCAATCTTTGACCTGACTGATCTGAAAAGGATTGGAATTGGTCATATTCCTTGCTGAGCATGTCATTAGACCACAGCAGACCAGTCAGAGAATTAGACATTTGCTCCTCAGAGAACAATTTTGGTGTGAAAGGAAAATGTGCACGGAACAGCATCAAGGATCTATTTGAAGACACGTGGTCAATCACCCCAGCATCCTCACTTGGAATGCTTAAAGGAAGTTTGTTCTGCACAGTGGAGTGTGGAGCCGACTCAGTGTTATCAGGCTTGACTTGCCATAGCATCCCGTTTTTAATTTTTTCTCTAGGTGGAAAATTCCTACACTTTTTCTTGTGACAACACCCAGCCTCCCATAACTTCCCCAACGGTGACCAGATACTATCAGATACTTGAGCCTGTGCTTGAAAGTGTGGGGCTGACTAATTCCCAGGAACCAAATGCCCTCAGCCTTAAGCAACTACACTCAGTGTGAAATTCCCTGCCTATTTTAGGAATAAGCGCAATTTAAGAATAAGACTAGCTGAAGCAGCTGGTGCCATTTGAAAGGAAAAGGAAAGAAACTTAAGTGGTGCTCAAAGCTTGACAAAATATTTGGTCATGAGTTCATTATCTGCTTGGCATTCCAGCAAGGTGGAGACACAGTAACAAGAGGAACTTCTTCCAAGAGAGGAAGACATGGCACACTCTCTGGAGTCATGTTGGTGTTGGAACAAGACTCTCCTGGTTTGAGTTATATACATTTAAGTTCATTTAGTGTCTGATCCAATGTCTGATGTAAGCACACATTCTCTTCTTTGGCCTGGGCAATATTTTCTTCCAGGTCATCGATTATCTTCTCCAGTTTGGAAACTGTCCTCTCTGCAAACTCAGCTTGGGTCTCAGCCTCCTTCAGCTTGTCAGACAGAAGCTTAATGTCTTCTTCATATTCAACCTCCTTTTCAGAATACTTTTCAGAAGCAGCCTCCAGTGACTTGAGGTTGTTAGTGACGTTCTTGAGCTCCTCTTCCAGATCACCACACTTTAGTTTGGACACCTCTGCACGCTCCTCTGCTCCCTCCAGCTCACCTTCCAGGATGACCAACTTACATGCTACCTCCTAGTACTTGCTGTCAGTCTCCTCAGCGATGTGCTTGGCCTCTTTGAGAGGCATTTCCTGGATCTCCATCTTCTCCTCTTTCATGGCTCAGTTCTCTATCACCTCCATGCCTCTCTCGCGCTCATCTGCTGCCTTTTCTGCCTCTTCCAGCTTCTGCAGGATTGTGGCCAGTCACTCCTGAGCACAGTCCAGCTCCTCCTCCAGCAGCTGGATGTGGCGTTTGAGAGCTGCCACATCTCCTTCAGGTTTCTAGAACTGCTTGCGCTAGCTGTTCAGCTCAAGCTGCAGGACCTGCATGTGGTCCTCTGAGTCCTCTGCCTGCTGCTGCAGGGTCTGGATCTTCTGTTTCACCACCTCCAGCAAGTTGAGGCCAGCCATGGTGTGTTCGCTCTGATGGGCTCCTGTGACAGCTCTATACCTACTTTCATACTTGGTTGACAATAGATATTACAAGAATCACAGCAGAAGGGCCTGTTAACTTGGAATAGGTTCAGCAAAAATGTTTAAGGGTTTATAAATGACAGTGAGTTTGGGAGATTGGTATGGGGGAGCAGTTTTGAATTAAGCAAGGTTTCCTATAGTGAATGTTGATGGCTTTATCAGCAACTTTGCTTGCAGAGATTTGTGTCCATGGAATGTAGCTTCCTTATGATGTCTTTTATCTTAGGGTTTTATCACTCTGAAAAGATACCATGACCATGACAACTCATTGAAGGAAAAACATTCAACTGGGGTGGCTAGCTTACAGTTTCAGAGGTTCAATCCTTTATCTTCATGTTGGGAGCATGTCAGCCTTCAGGCAAATGGTAGCAGAGATTCCTACTTCTTGCAGACAACCGGATGTCAACTCACTTACTGGGCAGAATTCTAAGCATGCACAGAAAACCTCAAAGCCTGCCTGCAGTGACACACTGGCTCCAAAGGGCTACTCTCACTCCAAAACAGCCACACTTTTTAATGGTGCCACTTGTGAGATTATATGGGCTAATTACACTCAAACAATGAAATGTTTAGAGCAGCCAAGATACTATGTATCTGTCTATCTGATGACAAATTGGGGAAAATATATTGAGCATGTCTTCCTCAAGGCAGTCTGTCACAAGGAAAGGCAACAAAAATGTCAATTAAAATACCAAAAGGCCTATGTCCAAACAGCTTAGCTACTGTTTATAGCTGGAAATTTTTCTGTGTCCTGCCTGGCCCATGGTCAGGACAAATGTCTCTCACCTGCCAGTCCTGCAGCTGCTCCGACTGAAGTAAACACACAGAGGCTTATATTAATTAAAACTTCCCAACCATTAGTTGAGGCTAACTACTGACTAGCTCTTACATTTAAACTCAGCCCATTTTTGTTAATCTGTCTGTCACCACGTGTTCTGTGGCCTTACCTTTGTGCCATTACATGTTGCTCAGTGGATGGCAGGCTTACATATTCTCACCCAGCCTTCCTTTTCTCAGAATTCTCCTTCTCTGCTTATCCCATCTATACTTTCTACCTGGCTACTGGCCAATCAGCATTTTACTTATCAATCAATCAGTGTAACGTATTTACAGCATTGTGTATTAATTGAAAATATTTGATTTTCTGTAAAAGTCTATAGTTATATTGTTATAATCACCTTGGCAGTTTTTATATCCTTTTTCCATAGAAAGCATTGACTGGACAGGGTAAAGTCCTGACTCTAAGGATGAAGGGGCCCAAAATAGGAAAACATAGTGTTAAGATTGCTGTGATGTTCACCAACAATGAACTTTTATCATCTGTTAGAGAAGCACAAACATGTAAGATTGCAGAGAAGGTATAAAAAGCCAGAAAGGTGGACACTAGGGCCAAGATGTTGTAGGTTGCTTTGGACTCCATGGATCTTCTGTGGGAAACATGAGTGCTGTGAATGTATTGGACTTGGTGCTTGTGCCTGCAAAGATTGACAATCATGGAGCTGCTGGAGCAGGTGATGAGGACAGAAAACAGAACTTCAGGAAGCATAAAAAAAGCTATATATAAGGAGACTGTGATTTTGTCATGACCTACAACAGTATAGTGTTCAAAATTTGTCTCTTTTGTTATGTTTTTTCTAATACCTTTTATAGCTATATACACTGGGAAAATGACATTTACCATGATGTAAAAAATCCAACACACAGAAATGTAGAGACCAATGTCCCAAGAAGACTTGACTTTAAGTTTTTTCCAACAGGAGTTCTCATGGCTGATGGTGACCACCTGGAAGATACTCAAGAGGCAGGTCGTGACAATGGACATGCTCCTCAAAACTCTAAGAATATACAGAAAGAGTTGATAGCTCCAGTCATTGAAGAATTGTTTCATACCAAAAGCTGCCAGTGTGTTGGATGATCCTTTAATTAGAAGGATCAAGGAATTGACCATAATCATGTGCATGAGAATCAAATCCATTTGATTTAACTTCTTTTTGTTTTGGTAAAAGACTAGATAGTCAAAAAGAAGAGAAAAGTTTCCCAGTATTCCCACTGTACTCTGTGATAAGAATATTATTCCTATTGCCAAATTCTTGGAGTCCATTTTGTCAATGAGCACCCTTTATTTCAAAATACTCCCACAGTCATTTTTGAGACTAAAGTGATGAACTTTGTATACGTGGAGCAGTGGAGTAAACTAAGGAAGTCACATTAGCTCAATTCTAGAGACCCTGTGTGGACAGCAGTGCAAGACCTTTCCAAATTCCAACTCAAAGTCATCTTGACATGCATAACAACTTTCAGTGTAACTGCTGATGTCTTCAGAGGCACATTATAAGAGAGAGGTTTCTCATTTTATTTCTTAAAAAATCAAATTTAAAAATATTGCAAAGTTATCCTAGGAGAACAACGATCTGTGAATTACAATTAAGAAGGAAACTGAATTTAACATTTCTACCCATATTGAAGAAAAAGTCTTCTGTCATCTTATTCTCCTTTAAAGAAATCCATTGTGAGTTCATTTTTGTCTTAATTTATACAGAAAAATAAAAAGGATAGAACCAGCAAAATTTTTGTTCATTTGTTAGTTAAATAGTACTTATTACTGTGTTCAAGTTATAATTTTAATATGGTTACATTAAGAGTGAAAAATATCATCCTATTTCACAAACACATATATTCGCACTCATGTCTAAATCATTACAGTTAGGGTGAGGAGAGTGTTGGGAGAGGACGGGTTCTCTGTGAGGGTTTGTAATGCACAACTGAGTGAAAATATGTGATCCATTCCAACAGAAATTTTGCAAACACTGTGTCAAAGGAAAAATAAATAGGGGAAGAAGTCCACCAGATTTTGGTGCAAATTATGGTGTCATCAATCAATAGAAATGTAAAATATAATTTGTTTTTGATAGCACTTAGTAAGGATCAATATATGCCAGAATTTCAAGAAATGCTGGTGGTGTTCACATTGCTTCATCCAATTCCCAAATGAAAGTCAGTGTGTAGGCAAAACATGTATGACTTTACTTTTTTGGAGGAATATTCATACATGCTGCTCAGAATTTGCATTTAAGCAATAGTTTGAAAGCACAGAAATTCACACATATATGAATTCATCAGTACAGTTGTTCACTTGTGTTCATGCCAATGCCATTTTTGCAGCGATGTACATGAAATCAGCAGTGTGTTCGATGTAGCATGAATACTAAAGGGTCTTGCCAATTCCTCAGCTGATCCTATTTCCTCTGTGTGGAAGCCTATGACTCCTCATCCAAATAGATCCCAGCTGAACTCCTGCTCAAAAGCCTAAAAGCTTAACCAGCTCTAGTTCTTGGTCCTCACACCTTAAATACCTTTCTGCTTTCTACCATCACTTCTTGGGATTAAACTCATGAGTCACCTCATGCCTAGATTTTTTAGTGTGGCCTTTAACTCACAGAGATCCAGGCAGATCTCTGCCTTCAGAATTCTAGGATTAAAGGCATGTGTGCCATTATTTTCTGGCCTCTATATCTAGTGGCTGTTCTGTTCTCTGACCCCAGATAACTTTATTAGGGTGCACAATATTTTGGGGAACACAATATCACCACAGTTCATAAAACTCAGATGCATTGAACATACCTCAAAAAGTATATGAATTCATCGTTAAGTTTCAGTTCATGGAAGTCACAACACAAGGAAGTAGTGCTCTGTCCTCTTAAAAAAGACTGCAGAAATATGAACCAATCAATGTTCGATCAATTTCATTCCTGCAAATAACCCAGTAGTACACTATTACTTATCTGATGACTTGGAATTGAAAGAAAGTTAGTTGGAAAGATCTCATTTGTAGTAGGAGAGGTGTGTTCAAACATGGTCTTTCTCTGTATTGCAGAAGGGATTAGTGTGTTCTGACACTCTCCTGCTTTCATGTTAGGTTTCCTGATATTGACACAACAAGCTAATGTTTTGTATTTTGTTCTATGTGGTACACAATGAGGTAACTGTCATTTAAGATCAGTTAAGATATAAATAAAATCACAAATTCATTGATATTTGTTGTGACATAAATGGTGACAAGGTCTTGGAGCTACCTGGAAGACAATGTGAAGCAGCACTATGCATCCTATGTTTAAGAATCAGAAATAAGGACCTGAAGCCTCAGTAAGTGAAGCAAGGAAGAGATGATGAGAAGAGGTTAATCAGTCAAGCATCCATGTTCGCCCTGAGACCTGTCCACCACTCCTGGATCTTCCAAGCCTAGAGGCACTCTGCCATTTCCCCGTGACTGATATTTTTCTTGGGAGTCAAGGGATTCTTCACAAGAAGCAGCCATAGCATTTGTTATATCATATCAGATTATAAAACATAATTACTAAAGGTTTTCTTGTGTTTAGGGGCTTTTCAGACATAAACTGAGAAATGCATAAAAGTGACAATCTTTGAATCACTGTTACAATGCTGCTCATTTTATAACTTCTATGGTTTGCATAACAATTTGTTATACAAAATGAATTTCTCTGAAGTGAAAATACAAGACTACACAGAATATTTGGAAAATCACCATCAAAATTAATAATGCCATGTGGGCAGTGTAGAAACTTGAGATTAGGAACATGGCCAGAATTAAAGCAAAGTTTTTGATCTGCATTGTTACGTCTGTCATGGTCTTTAGTGCTCAAACTATACTCTGTTTCTTTTCATAACTTGTACATGTGTTCTCAACCACTGGCAGTATATTAAAGGCTATGCTCAAATAGTGTTCTTATATTACAAATAGTGTTCTAATATCACAAAAACTGCCTAGGTCTGAGTCACTTTTGATAAGCATAGCAGAGACACAAAATATATTTTTCCACCAGACATATGTATATATTTCAAGGGGATAAATTACTAAATTATCTCTTAAATCAATTATTGATCAATGTTACTTTCTGTATCTGGTATAAAATGTGAAAATTAATACATGAGTGTGGCCTACACATTAAAGTATTAAAAACTGAGGATTTCATTAATCTCTTTCAGTTCTTTCCTTACCACATAGGAACTGTATTCAGTCTCCAGAATTCACATAAAATTTGACTGTGCTGATCTGCATTTCTAGGATGAACACTGAGGGATTTTGGAGAGGTGTGGAGGGCTGGCTTAATAGAAAGACTAACATACTCTGAGACTACTTGATGAGCAAAAGTCACTTCTCAAATAGAAGAACATAAAACATGTCTGAAAAATTACTAAGGAAGCCGTCCCACACAAGTACCTTTCCACATGAACAAGAAAGAGCACCTGCATGCAGATAGAGGCACACATGTACACATAAAAGATGTGAAGGTGAAAGCCATTTTATTTTAAAAGCTTTATTTATTAATCCCTAGGTCAACTCAAACTATTATTAATAAATCAAGACTTATGAACGACACCAAAATAATAGCATATACATAGAATGTGATGAATATGAAATCTTATGAATTGTGTGAATTGAATGCAAAAAGGTAAGTATTGAGTGTAGATACAACCTAATGGTTATATTCCTACCAGTCGTGCATAAGGTTCTAAGTTCCAGCAGCATCAGCAATAGAAATTGGAAAACCTATCCTGAGATATTAGTCAGATCAGAATATCACTAAGCAAGAAGAAATAACAAAAGAGAGAGTTGTCCTATATCAGTATTGTATAGGACTAACAATGACAATGTCAAATTCACCTGTACATTGTATAGCCAAGGTAAACAGAAACAAAGCCACAATGGTGATCACCATTGACTTTTAGGACAGACACAGCTCTTTATCCAGTTGTGGTTGCAGTGCTGCCCAGAAAGGTATTATACTCCTGAAGAAGTGCAGATACTGTTTGTTTTTTAATTTATGCACATGCAGGATTAGATGAATTTCATCGTTCAGTAGTAATATTGCTATAAACATTGAGTCTTGTACCACATTCTGTGAATGTTACACTGTAAAATTAGTTGATGTTTCACGTAAATGATAAGGAGATGGAAATATAAATGAATTATTGAACAATTTCTTATGAGCCTTCAACATCAGATTTCATTGCAATTTGTAGTATCCTGTAGACTGCCTAAGAGAAGATCTTGCTACAATTTTGCTACATTAGGAATTTGTACAAAGTCAGTAGCACTTTTCTTAGTAACTCTGTTAATAGCTAAGAAAATATTCCTAGTCATGGACTAAATTATCACTGTTCTGTTCCTATGCAGAATCCTGTTTCCTGATGTGAACATTTAACAGACTCCCTCTTTTGACTTTCTCTGAGTTTGAGACTAAAAAATAAATGCTTACCTGAACTGTTCCCATTTAAGAATGTTCATTTCAGTGTGCAGCTACTGACATCACAGCCAACACTATTGAAGTGGGATGCAGCCCAACCCTGAGATAAATGTCCATAAATCTGTGACCTCAACTCCCTTCAGAACTGCAATCTTCATCTTACCTGCAGTGGCAATGACAGCACTTGCTTTGGGATCCAAGAACATTCTGAAACATTTACAGTTGCTAATTACTGAAGACTATCTTGTGAGTGTATCCAATGAGACAGTGTTTGGACAGGCTCTTATGTCTTCAGGATCCCTGATGCCCACTTTGAGGGAAGGTGCATTGAATATCAAAATCTCATGTGTTAGAGTCTTACAATGGAAGTTTGTACATTTTTTTCCCTGTGGGACAAATATTCTCTAGGTTCTTCTAAATAAACAAGTAAATTGTTAAATTTTGATCTGGGTGTTGCTCCTTTTAGATTAACTAAAAGAAGGAACACAGTCACTTAGGTGTATGGAATTTCCAGTGAATAACTAAAAAAAAAGGAAATACATGACAGTGCAATCCACACTAGAAATCATAGCCTTTGTTTTATTCTTTACAAATTGAGTGAAAATACACTAGAAATTTTTACACATGCTGTGAAATGTTAGACCTATATCTCCAGCAATGACTAGAATTATGAATGATGCCCTTTCCTAGAGAATTCTATATATGCAATCTTTCCTCAAAATGACCTCACCTTTATGCATTATATATCACACGACACAGTACTACCTTCTCCTAATAGCACTGTATTGAACCAGAGAAGATACTGTCATTTTTTTCCTGAGAAAATAAGGAGAAT